GTTCCTGCCTGAATCTTTCTCATGGGGATTTCTGTCCCTCAAATCACTTAAAGCACAGTTTTATAATTAACACAAGCTGGTGAGGCAAATTCCTCACCAGACACAACAGGCATAGCAGTTTTATTCTACAGTATGTCAAAGAACAAAGCTGTTGATATAATATATTAAAAAACTTTTTCACCAACGTACCTCTATTCCTTCTGCAGCATGAGAGACCTCAAACCTACTTTTTTCTGGCAACACAGAGAAATTTTAACCACCCCATTATAAGTTATTCCAAAGGAAAAATAAACATTTTCCTTATAAGCTATGTTAAAATATGTAGAAAGTTTTTAATATAGGTGCCATACTTATGTATTCCCTACTTCAGGCAAAAGAAAGACTGCCATCTTTTTCTCTTTATGTGTATAAAAAACAAAAACAATCTTTGTAACTATGTACCATATTCTCCTTTTTGCCTGCATGACCTGGCTTGAGAGCCCCCCTCCACCTCTCAAGGTCCCAGTTCTGTTTTCCAGAATGACAGAGCTGCAATAGAAGGAATTTGGATGGATCTGTCTCGCCAACCCACCCTAAAACAGACTGCTGGTTAAGAGCTTTGGCCTAGCCCCCATTCTTGCTGACAAATGAGGTTTATCCAGATTTCCTCTGCCTTTGGCACATGTTTCAGGAACTGAGCTATTGTACACAAAGGCCAAGTCCCTGCCTCCTCCCCCTGTGGTTGCCTTTTAAAAGAAGACTTACGTGAATGATTTCTCTTTGTTCTGTAGTTCAGTTGCAGTAATTTTTCTTCCCCAATGTTCTAAGCTTTTAGCTTGAAATTGTAAATATCACAAAAAATTTTGACTTTCTGTTGTCTATTTGCTATCCTATGGGTTTCCCTTCAAAATTAGGTGAAATGATTAATTCAGCACTGGCAGAACTGAAAAATGGCATAGCTTATAAAACAAAATCACTTCTTTTCCCTTGTCAGAAATTTAGCCCAAGGAAACAAGAAATATTGATGAAGTCTCTGACTCTTTCAGTAACTTGATATTTGAGTAACTCATTTCAGCAGCTCCACCTTATGCCAATTTGCTTTGTTTCCTTTCCAGTCACTAGGGGTATATTTAATAAGCTGAAACATAAATCATTCACCACATACGAGGTAATTATTTATGAAAAATCTGTATAGTTTCTTTTTCTCTGGATTTAGGAATTGGAAAAAGGTTTCTTATCAGTTGCCACTGAATTAATCTAGAATTATTATTAAAAATAGTTGGGTGTTTGAGTCTGTTCAAATTCCCCAGGCAAAAACTCTGATTTAAATTGTCTTGGCAGAATCAGGCCCCTTAATCTTCCACTTGTAGCAAATGAAAAGCTTCAAATAAGGGGAGAAAAGAGCCCCTATTTGTGACATGCTGAGATTTTAATTAATCCCTTCAATTAATGCTATTAATGAGTGAGTATTAGAAGGGAGGAGGTTGATGGATTCTGATGTGAATAGCTGTATAATATCAACAATACATGCCCGAGGACAACTTCTAGAATTGCTTGTGAAAAAGGGAAGAGGAATAGAATAAATTAATAGCCTCACAACAGTGTAAGGATTTAAAACTGTTGTGAAAAATATTTCCTGTATCAAAGTTCCTGTGTGATAATTTTCTCTTATTTAAATAATTAACTCATTGTACAGTTTCATACATATTTAAATTTTTCATTCATTTTCATTGAATATCAGCTTTTCACTCTTAGATCCATTGCAGTGAGGTGATTTTGGGAAGTGGGCTTGAGCTCTACAGTGTGAGGAAAATCTTGATTGCTGCTAATATCCTTTTATACCACTGAAAAGTTATATAAAATAAAGTGGTATAAAATGGCAAAACTCAGTCTCTGATTTAAAACTAGAGCATGGGTGCCCACATTGTCCATGAATCTAACCTTAATGTTCTCACACAACCATTCTGACAAGGCTTTGAGTCTAAACTGTAGATGTGATTAAGCTGCCGAGTTATCTGAGGGATTCTCAGGACCAGGCAGTTCACCTTTGCCAAAAGCAGATACCATTAGCCCCCGTCCTTCCTGAGAGTCGTTGAATTATCTTCCTCTAGATGAAATATTTCCAGTGATAAAAAGCCCATAATTTACTTTTGAAATGAGTATGATGGGAATAATTAGGGAAGAATAAAGAATGCAAAAGCTATGTAGTCAAGCTGAAACACAGATCACCTTTAGCAGCCGTAATAATTTGATTAACAGGGGAAAAAAAAAATAGGAAGACGAGGAGTCATTTAAAAGCTCCCTGTGGTTTTGTGTGCCAGTAGAGACACCTTGCCTGACCCCTGCAATGTTCCACAGGACATAAATCTTATGTGATATTTGCTAATCCTGTGTGGGTGTTTCACATACCCAGGGTCTTACAGATACATGGTGAGTTTAGGTACAGAGAGCTGAACTGCAGCCCAGCCAACTGCTTTAGCTGTGAGCTGAATTTGTCCCCAGGCTTCCCTGCCTGCCTTGCCTGGCTCTCCCTGGGCTGCAATGGCAAGCTCCACTGCTAGCTGGCATGGGGACACCCAACACCGTCACCCCCTCTTGGCTATGGCACTCCTGGAGCACTTCCTGAGCTCTGGCAAAGGAGTCAGGTGCCACCACATGACAAGAAAAAGAAAACATTTGTGAGTAGCTGAATGCATTTCCTGTGTCACACACATGCACTCACACTTGCTTATATCAGACCCTCATTAGCAGATCTTGCTAATTAAGGTCTTATTCTTACAGAAAGCACATCCCTCTGAAGTTGTCTGCTTTATTCTGAATTTCAGACATGCAGCAAAGTGATATAAGCATCATCTGAATTTACTGGAATCAGTACTTTAGCCAGTTTAAGTGAGGCATTAAGAATCAAACAACAGTCTTATCCTATTGAAGACTACAGTCTTTAACTGTGCTGAAATAAATTCTCACTTAATAGGGGTTTCCCATAGCATCAGATAGGTATAATGTAAAAGTTTAAAAATGTAATTAAAAAATTAAAATAAAATAATACTTGAGATATACCTTTCTTCTTTCTTCCAGTCTTTCTTTCTTTTCTAAAAACTGACCATTTTTCCCTTTTTTCCTATCTATTCTACTGTGAGGTTATTATTTGTAAAGTCTTTGTAGTGGCTCTGAATAGAGTTAATGTGCTGCCTTTTGATTTATTCCACCTCAGTCAAACCAATATGACATTTTACACAATCCTTTTACTTTGTAGATGTAAAAGAAAACATCACTTATAGGAAAAATCAATTGAATGAGACCTTTAGAAAAGCCAAAGAACTCTAGAATCTGTGGTTTATATTTTCATCTCTTTGCATTTTGTCTAAATGAAGAGCACGGAGAGAAGCTTAAGGAGCTTACTGTTTGACGTGCACTGATTTATGCCATTCAGTCCTACCTACTCATCAATTAACTTTTCTATTTCATAGTTTCACTCTTTAGTTTAAAAAAGTAGATAGAAAATGTGGTAAAATCAGATCCCTAATTCTTTCCATTGAGGGGGAAGTGTTTTTAAAAAAAAATAGTTTTGGAGGGGTTTAGGATGCACAATTTCATTTGAAACCATATGAAAAATTCCAGTGTTCTTGTGTGGCTCTGCAGAGGAGCTGAAAAGAAGGAGTTGAGGAAAAAGGAGAGTCACATATGAATTTTGACCTTTTAGAAGCCTGAGTTCAGTCTGGAATTTTGTGTGAAACTTGGATAGCAAAGCACTGCACTCTGAAAGGCAGCACTGGTTTTAGCTGGAGACTTAACCAAAACTTCAAACACAGTTTCTACTGATGGTTTAAGGAGATTTTAGGGTGAATCAGCTTACTTTGGCCATGTGCCCAGAGAAGATCTTGCTGGCATGCTTAAGGCTTCAGCTGACTTCACAAAAAGCTTTGGGTAAAAGTGTGTAGATTTCTTGTTCCACTCCAGGGTGGTTCAAAGCTTGACTGAGTTTGACTTCAAAGCTTTGTTCTTCATAAGCAAACTTTGAATGGAGCCTGTACTTGATTCCTGAGAGAACCAGCATTCACATTTGCTCCTAGATCCTACTTAAATTTTTATTTTTAAAGGCCTTTTATTGCAGCCTTTACTGATTGATTATTAATACTACACTCAATATTTCAATGACTCTCCATCATAAAAACTCTTCTTTGAAACAACTTGTCATGTTCTCTGTTCCTGTGCACTGCCTTCTGTGAGGGCCCAACCAGCAGAATACACTGGGCAAATTTACAGGTAATCTTGGTCACATGTGCTGGTCTGGGAACTGCAAAATTTCACCAACTCACGTATTTCTGCTCACTAGAAAAGGATCTAGAATAATGATCAAATCACACAAAATATTGTGTTTCAGTATGCAATGATACTGTTAATATGTATTTTAGAAATTAAATTCACTATTTGCTCATAGGATAAAAGATGTCTCTAGCTGGATGCCAAAGAATCATCTTTTCCCTACAGCATGAGCCTGGTTCAAGACAGCTTCTTTGAGATCCTTGACATGCAGATACTTAATCAGTTCCTTTAGCTGCTGGGAATACTTGAGTGTGACCACGGAAACTTTAGGTGGGAAGGGATTTCAGTGGGAGGAAAGAGGTTTTTCATTTATTTCCAATGTAAAAAGGGGGCAGGAAAACATGCCCTGGAGGAACATAACCTAAATTGGGTTACTCATTATCTCAGCTGGCATTTCTGAATCCTTGGCCTATGTTCCACCTAGCTCTGATAAAACCTTTTCCCCATCAGCAAGGATGTCTCTGATTAGCATAAAAGAAAAATCACTATACCCCTTTTTGCTGGAAATGTAAAGGTACTTTATTTCACTAGTAATATAAATCACAATTATATTAATGACAAGCAGGAAACATCCAGAAATAAGGCAGGGGGTTGGTTAGTTTTTTAATAGTATTCTTCAACCAGTTTTACTTTCACCTTAAAATGATGAATATATATGCAAATATTTTCTTTCTCTTTGATACATTTGTGCATAGGAACATCATTGTCTCAGAATAAAGATCCTGGGGGATTGTTACTACTGTGTGTCGGGGCTCCCAGAACCTCGCCAGGACCATGCACACTGCTGTGTTGAAATGGGGCTCAGCATGATCAAAACTATCAGGTAATGCCTTTTTCTCCCCTGATTCTTTGTTTCTGGCAGAGTTCTGCACTTCTTAGCTGAGAATGCTATTGCTACACCAGTAATTATTCTGTTGGTTCAAAAACCTCAGAATTATCACTGTGAAAATGCAGGATTTTTTTATCCATGAAATGCATGAGAACAGTTACTAAAATGATTTTATTAACCTGTGTTACTTCAGAGATGTAACACAATAGCTGTGTGTGCAACTGAGAGGTTTCACAGTTCTTGGCAGTTCTCACTTTGTACTGTTGTCAATTTTAAGAGGAGACTGAAGAGGAGGAGTCTGAATTTCTTCCTACAGTCCCTTTAATAAAATTAAATAACAATATAAACACAAAATAGACAGCTTTGGCTATCCTTTAGCTTGGAAACTAGCTCATAGACAAACTCATAAATTCTGAGATTTTCCAGATGAACAAATTTTACCTGCTAAATTAGGTTCTTGCTTAAATTCACAAGTACTGGAAGTGTTTTAATGAAGGAATGTGTTCCCATCATGTAAATATAATTATGTTGCTCTTGCATTATTGTATTTTGATGCAATTAGAATTAATAATAATCATGTTTCAGCAGCCTGTGGGTAGAGCTTGTCCAATGAGTTGCCATGACATTGGCTGACATATAATACTCCAAGACAGGTTTTGTCCATCTTTTTGAAACTTAAGGGTTTATTCTGATATAACATATCCATAAAAAAATACTGAGTTTCTCATATTCAAATACTTTTTCTGTTGCTATCTTCCTTAAAATAGTGTTTTCTAACAAAAGCATTCTCCCCTTTCCCTGGATATTTTTCTGTCCAATCTCTTTGTCTGCTTCTTGTCCAGATCTCTTTACCCCTTTTATCTGGGTCTGTCTCATGACATACATCAGACAGTTAATGCACACTGCAGCCACGTTACTGAGCTCTTAATAGAGAAAGAATTTGACTAAAATTAATAAATGGAAAATGTAACTGAATAATGATTGTTTAACAGTGAAATCTAAGAAGGCTGGATTCAATTATCACGGGCTAAATGATGAGCAAAGTAATCAATACTTTGCTTCTGGAATCCCCACAGTGAAAGGGAAACATGAATTAGAGAACACAGAGATGAAAAAAATGTACCATCATTGTTAATTTTTTTTTGATACAAACATCCAATCTTTTACATTTCCTTGGTAACACCACCGCAGACAACACATTGTAAGCCCTTTTTCTTCTAAGTCAGTAAATTTCTCTCCATCTCCTTTCACACATGGAAGTCTGTGACACCCCATGCCCTTCAATGAACAGGGTCTTGAAGGCAGTAATCCAGTAGAAATGGTGCTCTATTTTTGTATCTGAAATGACAGCAACAGTTGGTCAGAGCTGTGACACCAAAGTCCATCAGGACTTGGCTCATCCATCTCAGACTAATTCAGTTCAGATTATCTCCAATTTATTTGATAACCTCAGTATATGATTTTCTGTTTATGCAATGAGGATGGTTCTTCCCCCAGGCTTTTCTGTTCAAAGTGTTGGAGCCTTATGTTGCTTATCTTCATGTGTGTTTATGCAGTTCACAGGGAGGGCCAATCCTGCTATTGAATATTATAAATACTTCTGCCCACATTTCTGAGAGAATCTGGAGTTATCTACAGTCTATTAATTAGAATTAAAGAAGTACATATCTCTCAGAATTAAGATGAAAAAACACCCTCTTTAAAATGTGAGCTTCTTTATCATATTGGTCCCCACAGAATTTTGCCATATTTAAAATGCAACAGAAGTTAAATTTTGATTATTAGAAAATTTTCCATCTTCATCAGAAGATTCCAGAAAATAAATATTCTTGAAGTCTAAAATAATAGGGAGATGATCCAAGATATGAGAAGCAATCGTTCAGATTTGAGAGCATTGAAGTTACACAGACATTTCTCTCCATTGACAGCAGAAGGTTGGTAATGTTGTACTGATCAGTACAACCCTTCTGGTGAGGCAGCACCAAAAACCCTGTGAACTCAGGATACCTTTGCTGAACACTCCTTCTGTTGTCCTTGATGGCTCCATGGTCAAAAGGAATAGAGCAAGAATGTCAGATCCATTCACTGCACAACATGTAAAATAAATCTACGTGGGCAGGTTGTCTCACAAGGGACTTTGGAGTGTTTTCATACTGCTCATATCCATACAGCTAAATTGTTAATTTATTGTTAATTGAGACTCTACAACTTGATTTTAATCTTGAGTCTCGCAGCTCCACTGCTCTTTTTGCAGATGAAAGGAACTGTTCAGCACTCAACAAAATAATTCAAGACCATGATTTTCTCTGTAATTTTTTTTTTTTGCATGACCATTTAATTTGTTAAAATCTTTGTTAAAAATCTCATAAAAGAAGCACTATCGGTGTTATTCTAATCTGTGTTCTTGTTCTTTGCTCCTTTAACTGTTGAGAACAATTGATGGGCAACTTCTAACCACAGGAAGATTCCATGGAATCTGATATTTACTCTAAAGTAAGGCAGTTTTGCTCCACCACTTTTGGGCAGGAGAAAAATTCCAAATGTGCTGAAAAACCCAAGGATCTGTAAATTCTGTTTATCTGCAGCTGGAAACGAGAATTAAAGTGAAAAGGACAAGCTCTTCACAAGGAGTTATTTTACTCAGCTGGTTTTCACATCTTTTCACCTCTAGCAATAAGTCTCATTGTGTTTAATTTTATTGTATCAATGCCTGTCTCTACTGACTGTTGATGGAAATGAGATTCCAGTGGAATTTTTAGTCACCAGATGATAATGTTTCATTTTAACAATTATCACCCTAGCTAAGTGGTTGTCAGGGATAACACCCATTCTCAAATATCCTTATTCCTAAAATCTCTGTGACTGGGAGCAGAGGGGAAGGGAGATTATGTGAGACTCAGCTCCTCAGGGACTCCCTTTCATAGTGTAATGATGGAAATGGCACAGTATATATATCAGTGGAAATTCAAACAAACATTTGTGCTAGTATATTTGTTTGGTAAATCAAGGAGTCCTGAGTTGTTTCATTTGTTGGACCATTTCCCACTAAAAACCATCTGAAAGAGTAATTATTATGACAGAATAAATGGTCCCAGCATGCAATATAGGCCAAACTCCAGAAATTAGATAACAGCTTGTCTTCATTAAAAGTCTGTAATTAGGTACTAATAATAAGACTAATTTATGAGAGAGGGAGAAAGAGGAAAACTAAAAAAACCCAAACAAAGCCCAGAACCAAAAATGCCTCAATTATTTCAGGTGACTGACTGCCCTGACAAGCTTCCTGCTTTTATCATGAAAAAACTGCTTTTATAATCTGTTGAGTACTAACAAAAACCATGAAGTTATCAATTCTTGTTAAAGAAGTTATTCAGGCAGTAAAGGAGAGAGGAATTGCTTTCATATTCCATTATTAATAAATTATTTAATTACATGATTATATATCATTATAATTAATCCAGTTCTGGATTCCTTCCACAGATTATTTTTCCTATGACCTACAAGGCTCTGCCTATGATGCAATGAGCTCTGAGTCACAGAAGAGAGGATGTATTCACAAACCCAAAAACTAAAGCTTAACTTCATTTCTGTGTGGTGGTGGAAAAGGATATTGTGATATATTCACAAGTTCAGCCAGCACCTTTTAGACAGTTCTAAGATTGAATACAGGTTTTTCACTGAGACTTGAACATATTGTCACCTCCACATGTCCATTTCAGCCACTGACTCTGAATGGAGAGAATATCAGAATAGTTTTTCTTCCCCTGTTTTTGCTGTTGGGTGATGATATGAACTAAACCAAGTAGACATGAATAGATTCATGTACTTCTGTAACCTCTTTCCTCTGAATGCACCATGAAACACAGTCAAGGCCATATTGGAAAAATGGTATAGAAGTGTATATATACATATATATATATTTATATATACATATATAAGATTATATAGATTTTTATAACATAATTTCCAAATGAGAAAGCAAATTTCTAATAATATTGTGTGTGGTCCCTTGTACTGTATTTTTTTCCTGCTTCTCAGAGCAGATTGATGTAAGAAAGAGAAATGCAGCAGTATTAACTCTGCCCATGTAGCTACAGTTTCTGTCTGAACTCAGAACAAGTCTGTTATATTACTGACAGGTCTAACAATATGAAACTTCTCCAGGTAATTGTTTCTGCCTTCATTAGATTCCAGTTTTATATCCAAGGCAAACTCATTCTGGTGATATTTTAAACTGGGTCCTTGGGAAAATACCTACATTAAATTGTGAATTAAACTTGTGTAAAATTCATCTACGAAGTGCTATATCGCATAAGTCACATTCAAAGTGTTCAGTAGTTTAGTGTATCCTCTAACCTAGCCTTTTTAAAATAAGAGATATCTCCTTCACAGGCATGACACACCTCCCAGAGTCACACTGAAAAGAACACTTACTTCATCTACTATCCTGTCATGTCAGCACCAAAAAGCATTTGCATTCCTTTAAGAAAATTCCATAATTCTGTTAAGTCCAACCAAAATGTTCCCTGTATAACTGAACCTTATGATCAAAGAAGAGTTCAGTTAACAGGAGACACAGGAGATCACTTGTCCATCCTTCTGCTCACAGCAGTCAGCTAAGACCCTTACTTACTTCAACCAGAATACACAGACTTTCTTATTTCCCCTGCAAGAGGATGATAATGACCATGTTGAGAATGAGGAAGCATTCTGGGGTTGTTTTAAGTATCTAAAAGCATAGACATAACCCTGCACAGTTGAACTGGTTGGCACAGAAGCAGCCAGTGTGTCACTCTCTATCAGCAGGGCCTGAATTCCAGGGCATTCGGATTTTTGACAGCTACAGAAAAAGTTTAAAAGCAAATTTCTGAATTTTGGGTCACCTTGTTCATGCAGATAAGAAAGGTTTCAATTAACACTCAAAAATCAAATACCCATCAAAGAATGCTGACCAGAAGGAAATGCCAAGATCCAATTAAAATCATTGATTTTTTTTAGCTCTGGCTAGACTGAAATGAGATAAATGCCAAGAATAACAACAGCCACAGTTACCTCATCCTGGATAAGATATCAAAGCACTTGTGAGGCAAAGAGGGCTTCTTTATAGATCATCAATAATGCATCTTTGTGCAGGCACTTCGTCAACATATCTCAGAGAGCCTGTTAAGTAGTTGAAGAAAATACATTTTTTTTAATTAGAAGCTTCATTGACAGCTGAATAAATTTGAGAGAACTAGATGTGGAATACCTGAACTTTTGCAAAATGGACTCTAAATCTTTATCTCTACATTTTTTATCTAGTACATGCTATTATTTCTGAGATTTTTTCTGAATAAGTTAGAACTACCACTACTGATGAAGGTGATCCAGGTTTTGTTATTTCAGGGTTTGTTTTTCCTATATCTGTATGTAAACAAGACCTCCTAAAGTATGTGGTAGCCTGACTGCTAGGGACTTGGATTTGACCATGATTAAGTCCCCTTCTTTACATAACAGAAATATTTTTCAATCCACATCATTCCCAATTTTAAATAAAAGAAATAATTATAATTCCATTACTTTTTACATACTAACAAATGACCTCATTTTTAAACTTTTTAGTTTTGCAGAGAAATTTTTAAATAAAGTAAACCATTTATTCTTTGTTCAAGAATTTATCTTACAACAAACACTTTTATGAAGATTATTGTTTCCACAGCAGGTTCTCAACAGCTCTGCTTCAGTCCTGCGTTGCAAGTAATTTGAGTGAGACTAGATCACTCTTCTGCTTTGATTCATGTGCTGAACAGGGCTCTTTAAATATATTCCAGGTTGCCTGTGACTTCATGCAGTCAGGTCCCCTCCTGCAATTATTTTCCCACCTATCAACACAGGAGCACATTGCTGTGCACGACAAGAGGAGGATGCAGACAGAGCCCTGCATGTGCACCAGCACTGCAGCAGACAGAGAAACAGAGTGTTCCTCAGCCAAAGGATGCAGGCAAGAAGCCAAATCCACTGTCTGCTGATGAAGAGCTGAGATCAAATATCACCTGAGCTGCACATAAAGAGTTGCTGGGAGACTGTGAAAGGCAGATAAGGCAAGGGGGAGGGGACCTTGATTAGTGTCTGCAGGCAGGAGCTGGTGAGGACAGCACATCTGTGTGAGGTTTTGGACAAATTCAAAAGTCCTGTGTGTGTGATGGAGGAGGCCAAAGCCTCCAGGCCATCACCACATATTTATGACAAAGGAAAAGTTAAATCCAGCAATCCTTAGTGAACACTCTGGAAACAGAGGGGTTCATTGCCCATTTGCACCATTGTTTGTACCTGGTCTCTCCAGTGATACCTGCGTGTGTTAGTTCTCACATAAAATATAAATACAAGATCACAGCTCACCATATTTAAAATTAATACAATTGACTATACCAGACTAGACTAGAATAGAATAGAAGAATAAGACATGTTAGTTGGAAAGGGCCTGCAGTGATCATCTAGTCCAATTGCCTGCCAATTCAAGATAAAGCATGGTAAGGGCATTGTCCAAATGCCTCTTGATCATGGGCTTGGTGCATCAATCACCTCAGCAGAGAGCCTGTTTCACTGTTTGGCCACACTTCTGGTAAAGAAATGTTCCCTAAAATCTAAGCTGAACCTTCACTGGTGTAGCTTTGTGTTATTCCTGTTCATCCAGTCACTGGATCCCAGGGAGAGGAGCTCAGCATCTCCCTCTCCCCTTCCCCTCCTCAGGAAGCTGTTAGAGAGCAACGAGGTCACACCTCAGCCTCTTCTTCTCTAAACTAGACATACCATAGAGCCTTCAGCTGCTCATCACAGGACATGACAGTTGGTAAAATAGAAATGAAATTGGTAAAACAGCATGTGTGTCTACATAAGTATAGAGAAAGATTACATAAATATAGGCTATTAAAATATTTTATTAAACTTAAGCCCTTCCTATTAACTGCATTTTTCAGTGAAAAGCTTTTTGCTCTTTTTTTTCCTCTAGATACAACTATCTTTTATTTCAAGATAAGGAAATCAGATGTAAAATTAGAAATTTTATTATCTTAGTCTGAACAAAAGGAAAAGGCAGACTCGAGAAACAATCATGTGAGGAGTTGTGTGATAATTCCTCTGACAGTTATGAATGTCAGTTTAGATATTTTTGTAGCATATAAAAATTCTTCAAAATAGATTAAAATCTCAGTGGTCTCATTTTCATTAGCTGCTCAGTGTGGAGGAGCTGCTGTATATCCCATCTTCCAGGGACAGGTAATTGTTTAATTTTGATACTTCAAGTCCTCTTGCTTGCTTGCAATGAAGAAATTTGTAAATGAAGATATAAGCTGTAAATATAAGAACACAGATAAATACCTTCTCAAAGCTTCTTCTTTATTATTTTATGATTAACTATTTAAAACCTTTTTCTTTTAGATATCTGAAATATGTTGGTTTCCCAATATGATAAGCAGGTCTTGTAGGCTAACTACTGCACTGAGACTTATCATATGCCTGCCTATCTCCAGATTTTATAGTACGAAGGAAAGGGAAATAAAGAATAATTTCTTATTTCCATTTTTTCACATTTTTGTGCAACTAGTTCCTCTCCATTTTATAACTTTTTTGGGATTTTTTTCCCTTACAAACTGAGCTGATGCTCCCTTGCAACAATGAAAGCCAAAGAATTGAATGCAGTAAGCAATTTACTCTTTCCTCCTCTACAGAGGATCTGTCAAGGTCATTACTGAGGCATCTGAGGCACTTAACTTCAGAGCAGTGAAATAGAGCTGTTTATTCTTTGCCTGCTCTGTGGTGTGATCTTGCTGTGTTTCTATTGACTGCAGTGACTGTAGAGATGAGGCCCTTTAGAGACACAGCAGGTTTGTAGACAAGCAGTAGCAATGTGTTTTTCCTATCCTGAGCTCAGAATTTAAAGATTAATGAACACAAACTCTAATAGCATTTCTGGTGCAAACAATTATTGTCACACAAACAGGAATGAAAAAGCAGCCTTCTAAGAAATATGCTCATATGTATTTATTTTTGAGAGGTGAAATGGTCCTCACCACCCCACAGAATGGACAAAACTGATTTTAAACTCACATGGTTGTCGTGAAAGAGCAAATGGCCAAATGTAATGAAAACAAAAAATCATTTGACAAAAAGAACTCTGGAAAATCCCAATCAATAAAATAACAATAAAATAAAAATTGAAAATTAGTAAAAAATATACAAGAATATAAAAGAATAAACAGGTTTTATGAAAAAAAATTCCTCTTCTTGGACTGTCCCTATTGTTCCTGACTGTTCCATACTGTTCTAACTGCTCCATACTGTTCCTGAACCTTTTACAATGCCAAGCTAAAGCACTCAATAAGTCCAAAGAAATGCTTTCACTCAGACACCTTTTTCTCTCTCTATTTTCCCATTTCTATCTGATTGGAATAGTAAGTGTGCCACTGAGCCATGCATGCAATTATGTGCTTAATGATAACCTGGCTTTTAGAATAATTTTATCACTACCTCTACCTTTTCTATTTGGAAAGTTCTCTCTTCATTTTACAGGCTAGACTGCACTTTACAGCTAATTGATGTTGTATTTTACATCATATCCTTTTCAAAATGATATGGAAAATTGTGGCATATATTTTCATAAGTCTTTTTTTTTTCTTTCTTTGTGTGTTTTGTTTAACAGATATGTCAGATCAAGAACAAAGCACGACATTGACATGAGAATAGGGATTCATTCTGGATCAGTTCTGTGTGGAGTGCTGGGCCTGAGAAAGTGGCAGTTTGATGTCTGGTCATGGGACGTGGATATTGCAAACAAACTCGAGTCAGGTGGAATTCCTGGGTAAGGCAAAGTGTACTTTGTATTTCCCACAGTCAGAAAACATTGCCAGCACATTACACTGCTAACCTTGCCAAGAGATTATCTCTCTTACATCATTTCATCAACTATGACCTTTTTTTTTTCTTTTTTTAATGTATTTTGCAGTTGGTAAGGATTAGTGAGGCTGTAGCCAAAAAAGGTAGAAATGATCAGCTTGTAGAGCCATTTGAAAAGACAAGACAAAAATCTTTAGATTTCTTTGTCAGCCTTGGTTTTCTGGAAAAGATCAATTTTTGTTTTTAGCCTGCATAGTCCTCAGAAGTAGCTCAAATTTCCCAGTGAGGTGTTGACCATTCATGAGATTTTCCAGGCTTCATTCTCCCACCTTTTTCATTCAAATGATACTATGAGGCACAAAGCTATAATTTGTTTTATTTCATAATGCACAAAATGTGGGAAGAATTATGTGTTCATAGGTCAATATGTTAATAACAAATTGTTGTAAACAACAGGCTCTCTAGGAAGTATTTAAATAATTTGATGCTTTAGTAGATGCTTTGAGATATTTATCTTAACTTGTCTATATGTGAAAATGTGTGGTTTTCCACTAAAAAAAAGCCTATTTTTTTCTGTGTCTGAGTGTCTGATGTGGCTGATTCACCTGAAAGCTGAATGTTATTTCTGCATGACATGGCCTATATATCCTGCTAGTTTGGAAGCTACAAATCCTAAATTTGAGCTAACAGTAGTGATTGCAGGAATCTTCTGTTAACTTTCAGTTCAACCTGCCATTGATGAAAAATGTGGAAAAGATCACCTAGACAATTCCAATTTTAGCCATTGAATTTAGAAGCAATAGCAGCAGACATCTTCATGTGGAAAAAAGTCTAAGTGGCGCTGTCACCTTGAATGACAGAGATTTTAAGTCATCAAAACTGAGTCATGTGCTGTCCTCCCTACACACACATCAGGATCTGTCAGAGCTGTCATGTTCCCAGGAAATTGGAAGGAAATTTGCTTCATATATTGCAAATGCAGGCCCCTTCTACAGTTCTACATAGTAAACCTTTATTCTAATATATATTCTTGGAATTAACAGAAAATGTAATTCTGCATGCTCTGAGAACAGCTTCTGTACTCTGCATATGTCACCCGTGTACAGAATTTCAGAAAAAATTTAATTGCCTGCTGCTTATCCCACGTGATAGCCCCAGATGACTAAGGGGATGCTTTGTTCAAATGAACAAATTGATCATTTAAGTTTCACCATCCACACCTGCAAAAAGCAGAGTCTATTGCTGTTAATATGTGCAAGTCATATGGCTATTAATGAATAACCCAGAAAATGCACAGCCTTGCTGCAGATAAAATGCCTGGCAGGTTTTCAGTCTGTCAGAGCAGAGTGATTTCCTGGATATCAGTGTGCCAGCAGAACAAAGCCTGTATGTGACAGCAGTGAACCAAGTCCCTCAGAATAGAGACTTACATCAGAGTCTCCCAGTGTGCAGAGCAGATTTAATAGAGCAGTTAAGTTCATTTCAGCCTCGCCTTACTTCTCCCTGCCACCAGCATTCAAATCCCCCCACTTGTTATAATAGTGAGGACATTGCCATTCCTGGAGCAGCCTCACCAGGAAAGCTGCCCTGGGGTTATGAGTGGTCCTGCTCTCACCTCACAGTGTAAAACAAGAGCAAAGATGAACTGCAGCATTTTCCTGAGGGCATAGTGGAGAGAGGCAGCTGAAGATGGGAAACATCCTTTCACCCAGCCTGAGAGCAGGAAGGAAAGGGCTCAGCTCTGCCCCTGCATGTCCCCCTGAGCCCCACGGCGTGGGTGATGCAGGGAGAGGTTGCACCTGACAGAAGGAGCACAAGCCAACAGCCCAGCTGCTGTGGGAGAAGGCAGTCAGGAAAACTGAGAAAAAATTGCAATTTCGGTAAAAAACGTGTTCATGACACCTCAGAAGGAAACCTTGTAAGATCCTACCATGTTATTTCAGTGACATTCTTCTGCCAGGATCCCATTTTCAAATAGTTTTTACTTAGTGTATGTAGGTATTAATCTCCAGTACTGAATTGCATAAATCCTAGGTAATATTTAATTTTCAGTGATGTCTCAATGACAGGTATCATCTAACACTGTGGGCCTGATATGCTTTCAAGAGTAGGTCAAGCTTTTTGACTTCAATACTCAGGTTCCCAATCTACTGTATTTGCATGAACTTAAAATATATCCCTCCACATTTAAAATTTTTTTAAGCAAGCAGTACAGAAGGTAAAGCCAGAAAATACTTATAATCTACCAACTATTTATTACCATTTGGCCCATTTAAGGATATTATATTAATATCTATTACATTAATATCTTTCTCCATACTCTGCTTTAAAGCTGTTATCATATCCATCATAAAATCCGTATTTCAGGGCTTTGTTACTCAACATTCCTAAATTATAATAGTTGAATCTAAAGAGAGAGATGGTCACCTTGGCAACTAGTGTATCACTTTCTCTTTCTTTTTTTTGTTTTAGTTTTAAGTTAGTATTTAATTTAAATCAATTTAGCCTATTTGGACTTCTTAGTGCTAGGAAACGTATCATCTTTCTGAGAGGTTACATGCTTTGCTCTTTAAGTCCAGGCCAAAAGTTGCTTATATTTTTTTATATAAGAAACATTTTTGCTGGGTTTTATCATGAGTTTTACTGATTTTTTCACTACAAAATACTACTAATCCATGTGATCATTATAACAGCACGACTTTAGAAAGAAAAAGTTGTATAAAACCTGGGAAGAAGCAGGGAAGTTGAGAGAGCTTAAAAAATGTCTGGGATACAATTTTTTGATCTTTTTAATTAAATTTTAATATTTAATTCTTTGCATGGACAATTTGTGCCAAGTTCTGATACTCCTGGGTACTTCAAACTGCTGAAATACAACTAGCACTTTATTTTCTTGCAATGCATATACATCACATATGCCCTTATAGTTTTTTATTCCATCAAATTATTAAGAAATTTAATTCTGTATTGGCATCCTTTGAGTTGCAGAAAGAAGTTCCCAAGGAGGATGTTGGGACATTTCCTTCACAGGAGGAAGCCAAACTGTGGTGCCTGAGAAAAGCAACTTACCATGTGTCATCAATAAAGGATCAAGAATTTTATCTCACTCTGAATATTAGGAATCCTTATGCAAGTCTGTCTTTCAGAAAGTGTCATACACCCAAAGTTCAAAAAATGAGCTGGTTTAAAGAGTCACTCCAACTATTTTCTTGGGGTAGATAAATGCCTAATGAACAGCTCTTACTGCATTCATGATGCTGCATTGTACAGTAGAGCACGGCTGACCATGCTGATGTATTCTAGAGGTATCTGCAATTTCCCTGCATACAGGAACTTGAAGATTCCTTAAAAATAGTTTAGCTGGAAGACACTCAAATTCCAATCATACCATTGCAAAAGTTGAGCTCTTTTGCATGTAACCTCTTAAATTCAACTTCACTTTGGCCAAAGCTTATTGCACCCATTGATTAGTCTTAATAGAAATTATTATGTTGCTTGCCTTTGTATAGTTCCCTTATTTCCCTAATTTACTTCAGGTGCAATCAGACCAGTAATCAGTGCAATAATTTCAAATGTTTAAACTAACTCAGAAAACAGATGGAAATTTATGATCTTCACATAAACTGTTCTAATGCCTAGCATTTATTTTTCTCTCAGCATACTTCCCTGAAGCACAATTTTCTTTCATTCAGAATAGCATTTTACTTGGGATAGTCTCCCATTAAACTATTAACTATGAGCAAAAGTATCAGGTGGGAGTGTCAAAGTGTTTTTCCTGTGATGGGACTTGGTGCATTAATGACATCTTATTGATGTAAACGTGTCTTGAGATTATTTGGCCACAAATAAAGCTCATGATTTTAAATTTAAAGGTCATGATTATTTAATCTTCATTGTTTACAATAGAAAACCTTGTATTTATCCATGATGTTAAACAATACAGAGAATTCAAAAACCTCCTTCTAACCTATATTTAGTAGAGACCAATCAGTATTTGCTACTACTTATTTTACTTATGCAGGAGGATTCACATCTCCAAAGCCACTCTGGACTGCCTGAATGGGGATTATAAAGTTGAAGAAGGGCATGGCAAAGAGCGCAATGAATTCCTGAGGAAACATAACATTGAGACTTATTTAATTAAACAGCCTGAGGAGAGTCTGTTGACTTTACCTGAAGATATTGTGAAAGAGGCTGTCAGCTCCTCTGACAGGAGAAACAGTGGAGCTACGTTTACTGAAGGATCCTGGAGCCCTGAACTTCCATTTGATAACATAGTGGGAAAACAAAACGTAAGTCAAACTTCCTTTAATGTCATTGAGATGAATGCATGATTGAGTGCACTTCAATAATGGAGGCCTCAGAGGAGACAAATTCATCTTTAACCTTTATTCTAACATGCACTGCAACAGCAGAGGATTGAACAAACTGTTTCAAGGCAGAAAAAAATCTTGTATCTATACTGGGAAAATGCCAATGAAGCAGAGATTCTGGGTTCATTGTTTTTTTCTTTTTCCCAACTGAAATTAAATACTGCATGGCTTAGTTTTAATTGAACCACTTCACAAAGAAGTAATTAGAAATAAATCTAGTGTTACTAAATTAGCTGGAACATTCTAGTCAGAGTGTATATCTCATTGCATAGATTCATGTAAAGCCATCAAATTAAAGGGATGAAAGAATGGATATTTTGCAAGAGGAAAAAGTGTAAAGTAGTTTATTGATATCTGAGGGAAGAGAACAAAAAAACACCTTGTGAAACCAGGTTCTTCATCAAAAATATTAAAAACTCAGACTCTAAGATATAATTAAAGTTCACTAGCAGATGAGATATAGATTCTAAAGACATCTGTAGCTCAATAGAAATATGAGATAATAGCAACTTCTCCTGATCAGATGTTTTCCAAAAGCACTGCATGGCTGATTGCCAGCAACCTGGGAACCAACAATTCTTGTATGGTAAAAAAAATCATTTTGTGAAGTCTGTCTGTTTAGAAAAATTAAAGTTGGAAAGGTTAAAATGCCCTCAGACTCCACTTTTCTCAGTGCACTTGAAAGATTGATGAGTCTTTATGAAGCAAGGTCAGCTGAAGTTTTCTTTCATTTTCTTTGAGGGATCTGCAAGGACAATATATATCCTTTCTTCTGCTGCACATCCTTATTCCTGCTTGTCTGAACTGTCTGTTGAACCTTAAGCATTGTTGTGTGGAGGTCTTGCTTTTGTCAACCACCTTCTGCTTCCTACTAATGTGGTCAGAAGTGATAAAATTTCACAATCAATCAGCCCACAGCAGTGTCTTCACCTTTTCAAAGTGAATTTGAGCATGGCGCAGTTTGCCATTATATAAAACACCTGTTTTATATATGTTCTGTACATCTGTGTATCTGCATGTACACTGCCTTATAGTATTCTCTGTATTTTGTTGACCTGTCTGCATACTGTCATTTCATTAGAGTAGAGGTATGGGTGCATGCTGCTGTGGATATCTTCTGATCTCTCTCTATTTCTTTCCCTTTAAGATATTCCACTTTCTGTAGTCCAAAAAAATCGATGCAGAGTAGGCTCTCATTTTTTTGGTCATTTTCTCAGCTAAACCTGACCTTGATGCTAGCAAAGACAAAGAACAAAATAAAGAATTAGTGATTTTATTCAATTATTGATCAACTCCTGCCTAGTACTAGTAAAAAGGTCTTGGAAATAATTGAAATAGGCATAGCTTATTAGTTTCTTTAAAACTTTTTTCTTACTTATGGCAACAATCTACTTTTAGAACAGTTTCTCACTGTTTTTTAAATAATTTGGTGTTGGGAAAAGCTATAATTTTATATTAAACAGTTTTACAATAAGCCTTTTGGTGGAGACAAGATTTTAAAAATCTGCTGTCCCATGTATGATTCAATTATTATGTAATTTTTAATTTACAGTTGAGACAATAGGCAGTATTGCTCATAAATAATGTATTTCAGTTTAAAAATTCTGATGATAGATTTAAATTATACTAGGATGCATTAGCTTTTTCCAGAGGTGTGTCAGTCTTGGACAGGATAAGCATTTAATAACACTAATTAAGCACCTTAAAGGTCACTGTCAGCAGCAGTCTTTGAGAATTGTAGTAGCAGCAACCCAGCAATGAATCACTCTGTAAGTTTGAATATTTTCCAATAGAATTTAAATTATTTCTTTACCCAATCTAAATTACAACAAAATTTGAGCAACTGATCACATGTACCTTACTTTTAACTCTAGTTATGTTAGGAAGGAAATCTCTGGGGTGTTTTTAAGCCAAACTCAAATTTATCCCAAGCCATACTTATTACCTCAAGCTTGTGTTCAATGAGCAGCCTGAATCAGTGAATTGTAAATGTGTTTATGTAAGAAACGAATAATCACTTTTTATGTAGGCAGTCACAGATATTAACAAAAAACTACTACTGTCTACAGACCAATTATCACTGTGTGCTCTGGTCATGAGGTAAGCCAAAGGTGTGAGCTCTTGTCTGAAATTCAGACATGCCCAACATAAATAGAGGTTTCTGTTATTGAAACCAGTGTCTGGGCTTCTTTCTTAAAGCAAAAACAATTGGACAGAAGTTATTTTATTTCAAGAGAGTAGAGGGCTCCTCCTCTAGAATGAATTAATGTTTGTTTAAGCTGGCTTTGTTCCATAACCTTACAAAAGGAGTAGCTGAAAGCATGACATGGCCATGGTATGTGCTGGTGGAGACACCTGATGGGCCTGACAGGATGTGATTTAGGAAAAACAACATATTAAAATCTCTGTCTTCTATAGGGGTGCCTCAGTAGTGAAGGTTAACAGTGAGCCCAGGAATTATACTAAAAGTCTGCCAAGATGACAGACAAATCTAAACAAAAGGGTGGAATTCAGATCAAAACCAAGGTACCTGGGTGTTTCAGCTACCCCGTTGTTATTGTTGTGATTTCTGTGCTGAGATGCCCCAGCACACCCCGGCTGGTCCTCACCAGTGGCACTTGTGTCCTGTGCCACATCTCCTGGCTCCTGACTATTCCTAAGTTCCCTAAGGCATCTCTTCTGACCACAGCTACTCATGATTGGGCAATTGAAAGTATCTGGAATATGTATTGGAAGAAACAGAAGTTTAGGCACTGAGCATGTAGACACCAAACTTGTAGACACCCTCATTTAGGTGTCTTCCTCATGAACTAAATCCTATCTGCATCCTGGCTTTTTAAAGATGTAACCTTTTATTTTCCTGTTTCCTTCCAAAACCTCACAGTATGAAAAAAAAATAATTTTAAACCTTCCTAAGGTTTTCTAAATAGCACAGATTTAAAATTTCCCTTCTTGTTGAGAGCAGGATGCTTGGACTTTTTGCAGGAAAACTCCCCAGGAAGGAAGTAAAATCTAATTTAAACTACATTTTAAAGACTCTATAAAATGTGTGTAAAGTTGGAGTTTTATTATTTGTTTGTTTTAATTCATCTTTCAGTTTCAGATGCAAGTTTAGCTAGGCTTTTTTTATTTTATTTTTTTTTAACAGAACTATGTGTTCCTGCATAATAAATGATTATTGTCAGCATCAAAAAACTTCAAAAGTCCATTGTAGAATTCACAACTCTGTCTTTTATAGAGCTGCTCACAAAAGTGTAGGAGAGGTAATAGGAAAAATCAATATTTCTTTGTGTTTGCATAAAGAAGTCTTAAAAGATGCAGAACAAAGAGGGGGATAAGAGACAAAATGTGGTTAGAACTTATTCTTGAGACAATAGTTTGCATGATGTTTTTTCATTGTTTTTATTTCTAAATACAGGGAATCCATTTTCTTAAGTATGTGCATGTATGCAAGGGAGAGAAAACAATGAAACACAAATGTGAATTTCGTTGTTATATTGTGAATATAAATGCAAATTCAGAGTCTATTTTTGCAAATACTACAGACACCATGGCCATAGTGGTGATATTATGTCATGTTCATCTATCATAAGTTGTAAAACACTTCATACATTCAGCAAGGAGAGAAATTTTCATATCAATCACAGCTTAAAATAAAATTTTAACCAAAATATAGTCACTTACTAGGATGAACTGAGATTCTTTTCTTGTATAAATAAAACAAAATGCTCATCAAAAACATTAGGGACATTCTCCACCCTCATTTCCAGTGTAGAAGCAGAAATACAAAGCAATTCTGAGGAATCAATTTACACACCACCATCTGATGTGATCTTATCCTTTAACAGGGACTTCAGACACACTCATGGCCTTTCAGCCACCAAAAATTGATAAAAGCTTTTATTCCTATCTCAGTTTAAAAAGAGATAGGAGTACTTAAACCAAAGTAGTGTCACAGCATGTACTAATATAGCAATTATGCACTTGCCTTGATTGTTTTCTCCAAGGCCAAGATATGAATTCAGACATATCTGAACCCTAAGCATGAGAAAAATTTCTTTGATACTGTTTTTTTCTCCTAATGTTGATGATACTGATTTGCTAGACAATAAGGGAGGATTCCAGTAGAGTGTCTTCCCAAACCTCCTCTACTGAAGTCCTTTTTCCACTAAACAAACAGGAAAACTGTTTTTCACTTAAACACAAATATTTCAATCCTGACATACTCTTCTGTCTGTATTTTGGGATCTTAAATTGCTGATAACAAGATGGAATATGAAACACTATCTGTGACTACAGAGTCCATGGACTTGATTTTATGATTTAAGGACAGCTGTCACCTGGGCTTTGGCATTGGGTACCTGAGACCCTTCCTGTGTTTTAATCTGCTGTCCAAGATGCATCAGAATATGTTTGCTGACTACAGTTTGAATATCAACATGGGAAGTCTCCCTCTGACATTTGCCCTATGTAATCCTGTGGTACAAAAGAATTGGCTTTCCAGGGGCATCTGGTGATAAAACACCCTAAACTCCTGCTTCAACAGTGCCCAGTAGGAGACAGAGCTGAAAGTCTTTTCAGGAAGGAACTATGGAATAACTTTTCACAGGCAGAGTTTTATTTCCCACCCATAATAACACTGACATGTCTTATGCTATGATGTATGAAGTTTCACATCCTTTCCATTCATTAACATTTCTTAATCCTTGGGAATATTACAGTAGTAGAGTTTATTTTCCCATTCAAGTGGGAAAGAGCTGCTTCACTTTGGTTTGTGTCATGAAATGGCACAATGAAATGGGAATGAGTTATTCTCTTTATGAAAGCAAACTCTAACTCTTTGCTGAAGATGAAACACCCTTCATACTATATCTGCTAGAATTCCTTTGTGAAGCAAAAGTATTGTCATTTTTTCCTTT